AACCCCGGGACAAGGCCCCCCCCTCCCGCCCCGGCCCGCCTCACCCCTTCAACCTGCTTCTCCTTTGTGCTCAGACCACAGGCCGCCCCTCGCCCTGTGAGCCATCCTGGCTGCCGTGCCCTTGCCCTGTGCCCCCCATCCCCAAAGGCTGTTTCATCACGCCTCAGCTCCCTGCCCCGCCCCCAGCCCAACATGTGTGGAGCCCGTGGCCTCCTGCCAAGGCCTGGGGCTGCCGCGCAGGCAGAGACAGAAATCTCACCGCTCGGTAGGTTTTCTTCTGCCCCGCGTGCTTGGGGGCTTTGCCTGGCTCCGCTGAGCTCTCCACATGCATCGAGTAGATGATGTCAAAGAAATCTTCCACCACAGCGACCCGCTTCAGAGAGATGCCCTCCGGCTCCGACAGGCCATCTGCCCCCTGCGACAGGGTGGACAAGCTGTGTTAGTGTCAGGGATGACGATGGGGTGAGAGCTGGGCCCTGAGGCCGGGGCAATGGGTCGGGGCCGCATGCCTCCCACAGTGGGTCTGGGGGTGGGAAGAGAGGGAGCCTGCCGAGAGGGCGCCGGGAGGGGCTGCCGGAGCTGGGGTGGCCGCCACTTCGAAAGCTACCAGCAACAATGGGCAGGGAACGACGACAGCGAAAACACGCATTCAAAAACCAAGAGCCTCCATGTTCGCAATTTCAGACAGATTGTGCCAGACTCGGGCGGGAGCGCTCGAATCACACGCTGTGCCAAGACCATCCTGGAGTCCCTGGGGAGGGGAGTGCTAAGTACATGCGCCCATCAGGAGCTCGCCAATTAGCAGTAACCTTTCACTGCGGCCGGCTGGGGTCCCAGGGGAGCGGCTCCATCACCTGGGTGACTCCTGCCTCTACCCGGCCTTTCTGAAAGCTGTTCTCTGTGTCCGCCCTCCCTGCTCCAGTGGCTGGGCGCCAGCAACAGCACCGGGCTCTTTGTGTGTGGGGATGTGCAGAATCGCAGGCATGGGGCAGCGTGGAGGTGGCAGGCCGCTGAGCGGGTGGCCGTGGGCCCCGAGCCTCTTCTCTGGCTGGCATGAGTGCTGTCAGCTGGCCCGACAAGGTGTGCCAGAATCAAGATGGGTCCTTCAATAGGAAGCAGCTGCAGGCGGGCTGACGCCTGCCCTCCCTTCCAGAGGGGGAGGGGGCTGCAGGGGAAGCCACAGGGCAGGAGGCTGGGGAGAGGCCGGGCGGCACACACAGATCCTGATTCACAGGGCACATCATGGGCGCAGACTCAGGGACACCAGGCTCTCGGCCGTCATCTCCTGATGAGGAGACCATGAGGATGTTAGGGGGCTTCAAAGACAAGAGCATGCAGTACGGAGGTGATCTGGGGAAAAGGAGGCAGGCTCATCTCTGAAAGTGCCCATAAGACACATCTCCAAGAGAATTCTTCCCCAGGGGACCCCAACTCAAGGACACTCATGACTGTGAGGGCGCAGCCCTCATCTGCCCATCCGTGATTGTCTCTCCAGCACCTAGAACATAGTAGGTGCTCAGTAAGCAACAACTGGATGGCCGGCTGGCCATAAGGGGCAGGGCCATCTAGACACACTCTGCCCTAGTTTGTAAAGGGCCCACCATTTAAGTGGCAGGGTGATCATGTGCAGGTTTTGTGCTCTGAGTCTCAGGCCCTTTGTCTGAAGAGGAGACCAGGAGTCCCTTTCCCATGAGCCACTGAGGAAATAAAGGAGATGCGTGTGCTGCCTTTAGCACCGAACCTGGCCTACAGGCACTGCTCAGTCAAAGCTGTCGTTAACCAGTGCTTTGCAGTGTGCCATATCTCTCCCAGGTGTGCCTGAGCCCAGCGTGGAGGCATCCCTGGGAGGCTGCTGGGGTAGGACCTGCCTTTGGTATGGTGGCCAGTGAGTGCCAGAGCTGGCTTAGGTCCTCAGACTTTGTAGTCCGAGTGGAACGCAGACCTGCTGGCAGGGGACGCTTGCCCGTGGCACGTTCTGGCCACAGGCAGGCTTGAGTTTCCCAGCAGCTTTCCCAGCACACCATGATGGGTAAGCAGGCTGTCTCCTCCAGAAGCCAAGTTGAGAGCAGAGAGCAGACAGGGGGAGAGGGCAGCTCAGGCATCTGAGATGTGCGGTACCAAGTCCTAGTGGGCAATGTCCTTGAGTGACCAGGCCCTTTTGCCAATGACTTCCTTCCTGGTCAAGACCCATTTCAATAAGGACTTCTCAGTCAGTCTCTCTCTCTCTCTCTCTTTCTCTCTCTCACACACACACACACACACACACACACATCTGTGTGCGCACGCGCAAGAGAAACCACTTCTGGCCAGCTTCCTTGTCATGAGATCGTAGGCAAACTCTTCACCTTCCCTGGGCTTCCCTATGAGATAAGCTGTAAAACTCCGTGACTTTTCTGTTTCTGATCCCTCTCAGGAGTCACTGTCACCTCTTTTTTGGAGGTATCTGACCCCCTCTGAAAGCCCTGGGCCATCCGTAAGGGTTCATCAACGGCCAGCTTGTTCACGGGTTGACCTGTAACTACCTAGCACTCTTGTGCTCGTCCAACATTGCCACATCAGGGTCGGAACAGGGTACAGATTATGACAGGTCAGTTATGATGTATTTCTAACCAGGGGTTCACATGGCAAAAATAAACAAAAAGAACCTTAAGAATGAATATCACTGGACTTCCATTTTTTGATCTAGGTAATGGTTATACAGGTATGTTCAGTTCATAAAAAGTCACTAAACTTTTGACACTTACAATCTGTGTACTTTTCTAAACTGCCTGCCAAACTTTAATTTTTTAAATGTTTGTTTTAAAAAAGTATAATGGGGTAGTTCCACCAAATTTTAAAATTATGGTAAAGCATACATACAAAATTTACTATCTTCGCCATTTATAAGTGTACAGTTAAGTCTGCAACATTTTGATCATGGTGAGTTTAGTTGCTTAAAAGTGAATAGACATGCTTGCTTATAAAGCTGTTTCAGGCCAGAATACACATATTTCTAGAAAAGGAAGGAGACAGAATTTTGCTCCTGCAAAAATGGAGAAAGAAAACAGTCTGACGAAGAGACCGTGTTTTAGATAGGTAAGATGGAAACTGCCCCCATTACCAGCTCAGGGACCTTGGGCAAGAAACTTCTTTACTTTGTGACACTCAGTTTCCTCACCTGTACAATGGGCCTAAAAGTCCTAGTTGGATGTTCCAAGGATCAAGAAGGTATGTCAGGCATCTGACACACACATACTTGGTTGATGTTCATCTCTCCCCTCTATACCCACTGAGTTTAGATATTTTGTATTTCAGAATCTGCTCTTTTCTGCCTTTGGTCCATTCAGGTCACAAAACCATCAGACTGGCTACAGGCAATATCCACCATCAGGAGAGAGGCATAGTATCATTTAATTCCTAAATCATATGCTGAACCTGTCCCACCTCCTTGGAACAAGCTTTTCTAAAGTCAAAGTGTAACTAGCCAACCCAAATGAAAGAGCAAAACATGCTGCCTCCCGCCTGGTCTGTCTCGATCTGCCTCCTTCCTCCATTCCTAGGCAGACCCAGGTCAGCAACGGCTTTGGACCTGGCCCAACGTGACCATTAAATTATACCAGAAAAAGTCTTCAGGAAACCAATTTTCAAACATATCCCTCTTTCAGATGTCTCACTATCTCCTCTGATGTTCGAACTTGGGTCCTGGGAGCCACCTGTCTCTACAGCAAAGACACACACAGGAGAGGAGAGGGCCTGCAGCAACCAGCATCCAAAACCCACAAGGCCTGCAGACCCGCACCTTGAACTGTCCCCTGGTGAGCTGCGGCCACCTGGATTCGACATGTCTACACCCTAAGGGAAGAACACTGGGGTATCTGTGTGGCCTTCAAGGAGATCCCTGAGAAGACAGTCACAAAGGCATCCGACAGCAGTCACGTGCCATCCCCTGCCTCCACAGAGGTAATAACCTTCATGTTAAGCGCAGCAGGAGAGGCAGGCCTTCCCTTGCTGAGGATCCAGACACAGCACTGCGAGGCAGGAGCTGCTAATCAAGGGAGCAGGAAGCACCTTCCCCCCCAACCTTCAGACGCTCTGCCAGCTCCTTCTTCCTGGTACCCAATTTAGCTTAATCTGATCCATTGCCCTACGCAAGGTGGGCAATGGATTGACAAAGGAAGTTCATCCCTAGGCTGAATCAAGAAGGGACCTTGAGTCTCCTTACTATCCCTCTTCCCGGAAACACTGAGGAGTGTTGAAACGGAATCCCGTTGCACCCCAATCGGAAACGCCATGAAAACCGCATGGTCAGTTGGGCAGGACACACCTTTGGGGCCTTCCTGCGTGGGAAGAACAGTGCCACAGTTTACACACTCCATCCATTCGAAACACTCAACCCCCAAATGGCCTGCCAGACCTAGGCCAACAAAACCAGACATGACAACAGCTTTTAAAATTCATGGAGAAGTAGGACATGGCGGTTAGGCCCTAGAGTCCCAGCTACTGGAGAGGCCAAGGTGGGAGGGTCACTTAAGCCCAGGAGCAACACAGTGAGACCCCCGTCTCTTCAAAAAAATTTCGACTTTCTTAAACATCACAAGCTCCCTTCAAACCAGCTCATTCAGGTTCCATACCAAAGTCAGGTTGCAAGCTACACTGCCAAACGCCTACTGAAATACTGCTGCTATTTCCAAACACGTAGAGCAGCGGTCCTCGAAGTGTGGTCCCTAGAACAGCCATATCAGCATCACCTGGGAACTTTTTAGAAATGCAAATTTTCGGGTTCCACCTCAGACCTACCAAATCTGATGCTCTGGGGTCTTAACAGGCCCCCAGATGATTCTGACGCAGGACAGACTTCGAGAACTGCTGATTAGAGTGTCTCCATGATCGAGCCAAGGAGGTAACCAGTAGGAAAACTGGCATTAGACATGCTCTGTGCTTCCAGGCCTAATATGTTAATATTTTCATCTTCAATGAAGGCCAATTTTCCTAATAGTGGGAACAAAAGAATCTTATTGGGCAACATGAGCATAAATCCAAGACATATTCCCAGAGACTTTATGTGGATTATGGAGAGAGAAGGGGCAGGACGCCCGGTATCCTGACATCAGATTTTCAAGTTCTCCCTGGCAAAGTTAACTACCACTTAAGCAGGGCATCCCTGGGTGGTCTTCTCTGGCTTCCTCAGTTTCCTCAAACACTTGGAACGCTCAGCATGAGGAGAATGCTATGTCCAAGACTGCAACCCTAAGAAGGGGATCAGCTCAGTCTTCTCAACCCACTAGGCGGGCTCTTGCCTGGTGTCAGTAAGCCTCTGAATCAGATGGGATCTTGCCTGTTTCTTCACATGGGCCAGTTAACCGGTCTCCTGCCGCGGGTAGCAGGTGAGGTCCGATTCCTAACGGGCTGCGCTTGTCAACTCCATTCGAACTTAAAAGTCACTTGCTGGTAATAAGTTACATACTTATCAAGGTGGGACCACCGTTTTAGGCCACCAGGGTGCCATCTGCTCTGCCACCATCGCTGTATTAGTGGAGTGCTCATTCCAGCAATGACAAGGTTGAGAGGATGTGACTAAATAGCAGGGACGTTTCCCACCTGGGTTTCTCCTATGGACAGGAAGAAACCACAGAGAGCCCTTAGGATGTGCCCTCTCGGTGCATTCCAGATCCAGCTCTTGACAAGGGATAAAAATCAACAAGATTTCTTTTAGGGGAGCAAATCAACCAGGAGAGCCTATTCCAGGGGAAACAAGCCTGGCTACCACTCATATGGGGACCCTGGACTTCAGGGAGCTGATTGCACCAGCAAATGTGAGAATGTGGCTCCATCCCATCCAGGCCAGCCAGCAAACAGCTGAGATTACAGGAAAAAGCTACTGTGCACATCACCAGCACGTGTCTCCTGACTCTGCGGTCATGGTGTTCCTCCAGTACCCCAAGCCCAGCTTTCGTATATTTAGCCAGGACTGGGGTTTGGGAAGTTTGGGGGAAGATTTTTGCAAAGTTTCATTCCAACTCCTGGTGGGAATGAAGGAAGAACCAACGGGGCGGAGTCAGCCCTCTGCAAAGGGGCCCCCGAGGGAGAGGAAAGGAGTGGAGAGGAAACTAAAAACCACACTAAGCTAAAAGAATGAAAGAAAACCAGAACAAAGACCATCACCCAAGTACCCAGAAATCCTCTTTGGAGAATCCCCAGGAGAGGCAGGTCATAATGTATAAAGAGCAACTGGATGGCTGAGGAGAGAGTACTCCTTAACTGGGACCAAGGCAGTGGATCAGTTTATCTTGGTTGTGAGCACCACCTACTATGGACTAGGAACCAAAGCACCCCCCAAAAACAAGACTCACACCAGAATTTCAGGACTCGAGAGTTCCACTGCGCTCTGCAGGCCTGGAGAGGCCGAGGGATGAGACCATCTCCCTCATAAATAAATAAACACATAAGCAAGGCGCAGGGCCTCCGTGCGGCACCTGCCTCCTCTCCACCCTGTGCACAATCTCCAACTGTCAGTGCAGAGCCTCCACCACCACCACCGAGTCGCACCTGCCATCTGGAGCAGGCTTCACATATTCCAAGACCTTCTTTCTGCTTCGCTGAGCCTCCATCTTCTCTCAAATCACGCCGGGACCGAAATGCACACCCCAGGCCACAGAGAAAGGTGCCTGGGATCAGCCCCAAGCAACAGAGCTATCTATGAGGGATGCCATCTCTATGTAGCTCAGAATAGTTCATTCTTTTTTTCTTTTTTTTTTTTTTTGAGTCGGAGTCTCACTCTGTCACCCAGACTGGAGTGAAGTGGCCACTGCAGCCTCGACCTGCTGGGCTCCGGCGATCCTTCCACCTCAGCCTTCCAAGTAGCTAGAACTACAGGCGCGTGCTGCCACGCCCGGCTAATTTTTCTTTTCTTTTTTTTTTTTATTGTAGAGATGAGGGCTCGCCAAGTTGCCCAGGCGAGTCTTGATCGAACCCGCAGGGTCAGGCAATCCACTCACCTCGGCCTCCCAAAGTGCTGGGATTACAGGCTGAGCCACCAAGCCCGGCTCTTTCTTTCTTTCTTTCTTTTCTCTCTCTCTCTCTGTTAGCTCTGGGGCGTCTAGAATGGGTGTGGAGGGAAGGGATGAGAAGAGAAAGGGGTGCAATGAGCAAAGCATCCCCCGGTTGGAAGGAGAGGGGCTGGAGAAATGCAAATCCCGATGGCAAGGGCCAAGGGATGGAGGAGTTAGGCCTCCCCAGTCACCCTTGCCAGACAGGAAGGGCCTGGGCCTGGCTGAGGAGATTCTGGCCTGGGAAGGCCAGGAGGGTGCTCTAGAGGGGTCACAGGCCTGACCCCAGGCAAGAGGCTGTCCTGCCAGGGCCTCAGTTTCTCCTCTGTGAGGTGACACCACCACATACACAATGACCGTTGCCTCCTCACAGGATGGCTGGGAACTCAGATGGTGCACACATAGCCCCGCCCTCCAAGACACCCGTAAAACGCAGCTGTGACCGCTACTCCGGAGGGGCGCGCTTCGGGACCCCAGGAACCCACCTCCCCGGGCACCGCAGCCGAGGACAGGGAATCAACCTAGGGCAAGAAACGGGGGTCACTGAAAAGGAGGATTCTAGGCGGAAGGGGTGGCCCTGAGCCAGATACGCCCCGCGGGCGGGTCCCTCCGGGCCAGGGCGGCGGCCCGGGGGGCGCTAACGAGCGGGGCCCCAGGTGCGGGCCCCACCCCGGGCTGGGGG